ACTGGAGTTCAGAGTTTGTTCTCTGGCATTTGGAACTTGACTGGAAAAAAAAAAAAAAGGTGTCTTTCTTCAGGAGCATGCTTTGTTAATGGAAACATGATCAGAGGTCATATTTTCTATATGTGGATGGGAGAGACAAAAGAAGTTGGCCTCACAAGGGGAAAAATGAGGTCAGTCCCGATAAAAACACAAGGATGAAAACTTTAAAGAGGATGTCAGGAAATCCAGACAACAGTTCTTGAAGCATATCTATATTGTTAGCCTTTGGCTCTATCATAGATAATTTATAATAAATAAATCTGTAAAAGATAATTTATAATAAATAAAGCAAACTCCTCTTTTTCCCCCTTACACAATCTGTTGGAGCTTGTTACTTATGGTCAGTCTAATAAAATAGGATTTATGTATACGGTATTGATAATGTTAATATTGACTCTGATGCATGTCAAATGAATCTTAAACATCGGTTTATTTGCTATTTCAGGGGTTCCTGAAATGAAAACTGGAGGATGATGCTCTGTCATATATTACCCTAAACCAATGATGTTTCTTAAATTAAAGTCTTCAGAGCACCTGCATCAAAGTCACCTAAACTGCTCTTTTAAAATGGACATTACCTAGGAGAAAATATTCAAAAATTATATATCTAACAAGGAGTCACTACTTCAAATGTACAAAGAACTCATATCACCCAATAGCAAAAACAAAAACAAAATTAAAAAAAAAAATCCAAGCCAATTAAAAAATAGGCAGAGGATCTGAACGCACATTTTTCCATAGAAGACATACACATTGTCAACAGATACATGAAAATGTGCTCAACATCACTAATTACCAGGGAATTGCAAATCAAAGTACAATGAAGTATCCCCTCTCACCTTTGAGAATGACTGGCATCAAAAAGACAAGAAATAAATATTGGCAAGGATGTGGAGAAAAGAGAGCCCTTGTGCACTGTCAGTGGGAATGTAAGTTGAAGAAGAGCTATCTGTATCCTCATATCCACTGTGGCATTATTTACAATAGCCAAGACATGGGGACAGTTTGAGTGTCCATTGATGGACTAATAGATCAATAAAATGTTATATATATATATAACATTTTCTTATATATATATGTGTATATATATATATACACATATATATATTTCATTCATAAAAAAGAAGGAAATTCTGTCATTTGTGACAACATGGATGGATCCTGAAGGCAATATACCAAATGAAATAAGTCAGACAGAGAAAGATAAGCACAGAGGAAGATAAGTATGATCTCACTTATACATGGAATCTTAAAAAAACAAACTCAGAAATAGAGAACAGATTGGTAGCTGCCAGAGGTTGGGGTGGAGTGGGGAGATAGGGCAAAAGGGTTAAGGGTGGTTAAAAGGTACAAACTTCCAATTATAAAATAAATAAGTCCTGGGGACATATTGTATAACAAGATGACTAGAGTAAATAATATTTTATATTTGAAAGTTGCTAAGAAGATAGATCTTAAAAGTTCCCATAAGAAAAATTTGTAATTATATAAGGTGATAGATGTTAACTAATTGCAGTATTCATTGTGTATTACACACACACACACACACACACACACATATACATATATATCAAATCATTATGTTGTATACCCCAAACTAGTAAAATGTTATATGTCAATTACATCTCAATGAAAGGGGAAAAATAAATAAAACAGACATTCCTGGTTATCATGGCTGACTTACTGCACCAGCATACCTGGTGTTAGGACCAGAAATCTGAATTTTAATTACACTTCCAAAAGATTCACAGTCATTAGCTAAGTCTTTGTTTGGTGAGACCCATATATACTATTCTGAAACAGTTCAAAGATTCAACAGCTAATGCAATGGCTTTGACAGATACCAACTTTCGGGAAAATTTTACTCCCCGCATTCTAGATCGCATCCTCAAATTCTGGCTACTTAAATTCTAGTGAAACTTTATAGTCACATATCAGAAAATGGAAACCGGAAGTGTTTATAAATATTTCCAAGATGGAGTGTTCTTGCTACTAATTTCTCAAGTTCTTTCTCCCAGGTGTCATTAAATTCAATGTCTGAGCCCAATTTCCTTTACAATAAAGGAAGTTCTCACATGATCTAATAATGCTGGTAATCTTAATCTATTTACTCCTATTCTGACCTCAGAATCAATGTAAACAGCCTCCATGACTCTAACCTCTGTTTCAGTCTTAGAGTAAAAAATTTAGTGTCATGCCTCTTGAGAGGTCGAGTAATCATTAATTCACAGTGATTATGCCAAAATAATTAGATGTTTGAAGATAATGTGCCTTGTCTTTCTTCCATTTTCTTCACTAAAAACTAGTTTAAAAAATCTATTCATATTTATATGAAAGATAACAAGTAAAATAAAAATTTTTTTGGAAGTGTTGCTCTGTGGCCTAAAATATTACATAGAGGTCTTTATCTTATTATCACAAATGAATAAAACACTTAAATATCTCCTTCATGGCTGTTAAGGCACAGTAGAGTCAATTCATGCCCAGGGAGCTTTAATCACAGACCATCGTCATGATAAATGGTGAAAGTCAGTGTGGGCTATCATGTCAAGGGCTACTGGGGGAGTTTTTAATGGGAACATTGACAGCATGCAGTTCATAACTACTTTTAAGGAGCACTTCTGACTTAAAGGCTAAATGAGTACCATTACAGTATCTTTATGTGTGGTATTTCTAGAGAAATTCCATTTTAAAAGGAAGCTGGTTACTGTAGTTAATGTATATAACAGATTTCATGAATGATGCAAATATTGTCTGTGGTTTAAAGTTATATTGATAGAGCGTGAATTACTTTTAGGTTTAGCTATCAATTTTTAATTTTTTGTAACCCATTATATCACCCAAAATCTCAAATCAAGTATTAAAGTGGGGCCATGAAGAAAATAGCACATAGCAAGAGAATAAGAAGAGCCCTGATAACAATAAAGAGAAGGTTGAAAAGGTAAAAGATTTCTAAATGTTTCTTTATGTTGTCTCAGGTAGCACATATCATCTGATTTGGTTATTTTCTTTTTTAAACTCAATTTGCAGCCTCAAGCCCTAAACTAGAACCTGCAGAAACCGTTTTTAAAAAACTACATAATCTAAAAATAGCCATTATGACCAAGAAGAACAGGGAAGGAATAAGAAGCAGACAATTTGAGAAAATAACACAATTCACAACCCAATGTGAGTTTCCTAAAATTACCAGTATTCTTATGAATTCTGGGAACAGAATTAATATAGATAGATAGATAGATAGATAGATAGATAGATATCTTGGCAAATCAGAAAAATATAGTCCCTTTGTGTTCTATTGAATAGTTGACAAAGATGCTGGATATTCAAACAGAATAAAAAGGCTATCTGGATATTAAGGGTAGAGGTCTATGGGGCTACAAATATGTTTTGCTTAGCACAATAATTTAAAATAATGAAAAACTGACAATTTGAAGACTTCAGAAAGTCCATGCAAATATCCAGATTGCCACAGGCCCCACTGCTTCAGATTTTCTTACATGGATCTTCTTCACATACTTGATACCCATCTAGCCACTTGAGGATGGGGATCCTCTTAGAGGTTCTCTCTGAAAGGGGAGAATGTTAGAACTCAGGGCACCTGGATGCCTCAGTTAATTGAGCATCCAACTCTTGGTTTGGCTCAGGCCATGATCTCATGGGTTCTGAGATGGAGTCCTGCAATGGGCTCTATGTTCAGCAGGGAGTCTACTTGAAGATTCTCTCCCTCTGTCCCTCCCCCCATTAGTGTGCACAGTTGAACACACATAATATCTTTCTCTCTCTATCTCTGAAATAAATAAATAATCTTTAAAAAAAGAATCCTTTAAGAATATTAGAAGTGGTAGGAACTAAGAAATCACCTAGTTCAAAAGCCACATTTAAAATTGGTATAACAGGCACTTGTGGCGATGAGCACTGGGTGTTGTATACAAGTGGTGAATCACTAAATTTTACACCAGAAACTACTAATAGACTGTATGTTAACTAACGAGAATTTAAATAAAACCTTGAAAAAAAAAAGCTGATACAACAGAAACCAAGAGGGGTAACAAGGATGTGTTTTAAGACTTTCCCATTAAGCAAATCAATAGAAACTCATTATGGCAGTATTTGGACTGCTCAGGTACCCAACAATCTTTTGTTGTTTGGCACAACAACAAGACTTTTTTTGGTACTTTTTTATCTTGTACTAAGTCAAATTTGAACAAAAAGAATAATGGTGGCTCAGTTATCACTTCATGAGCTGGTCTCAGTATGAGTTCCTGTTATTGAGCAATGCCAGAAATATCCAGTTTAAAAACTTTCTGCTTGATAAATACCACAATATCCAAATACACACAAATATATGAAGACTTTTCATTTACTTTCATCAATAACTCACACAGAACTTATAAGGATTCTGGAATTTTAAGATATTATGTAAGTATACTATATTTTAAGATACTAAATAGGCAACTTTCCAGGAACATATTATGATCTTAATATTAATTCTAGCATTATTTTAAGACTGAAGGGTAAAATAATGCATATACATGTGTGTACATTATTAAAGGGTTTTCAGGTCAAGGAAAACTATACAGAGAAATCGACGTATTCCCTGTCATCTCTCTTTTTCAGGGAGGCTTCTGGCCATGAATTAATTCATTCAATATTTAGCACCCATCTGGTATACAAAAAAGCTTATCAAGTCAATATATCCTATGGACTTAAAACCAGAAAAGAAAATCAACCTCATTAAGTAAGACTGAATATAAAATACTCAACACGTCTTAAAACTACAAGTACTATATTGATTATGTAGACACTTTTCAATTGCCTATTTACTATCAACTTTTCTATCTGATTCAGTGTCATATTTAAAAGAAAAAAAAACACGAATGAAGTCAGTTTTTAAGAATAGAGTAAAAAGAAGAGGGTGGCAACTCTTGAAATTACTTTCAAGGATAAGTACACTGAAATACCTCATATTCCTGGGAAAACTTCAAGTTGTCATTTGCTTTCAACCTTTCAATGTGATCTGCAAGTTCCAAGATAGGAATTGGAGGATGGCTAGCCATACCTATTAAAAGGAAAGAAGAAACACATTTGAAAACAAATGAAAATGATGGTGACTCTTCCAAAATACAGAGAATACTATCGTTAGAAATGGCCTGAAATATGTGAGTAGTAAAGATGTTTAATGTGAGGAAGCAGGCAGATAGTTTGGTTACTCAAAGCAGGACATGCTCTGGAAGGATGAATTTTGTAGCCAAATGAAAAGTCACCAAGCATAATCCGCAAACTAACACTCCTAGTGTAAAAGAAAGCGTTATTGTGCTATGAATCGATGCAGTCAGCTAGCGGAGAAAACTGACAGTCGGGCTTGATGTCAACTTCTGCTTTGAGTAATGACTGTTACGTCATTTCAAACTCCTTCTCCTGCACTGTGTGAAATGGAAATCGTGTGGAATTAAATGGTGTAAAGTGAACTAAGAAAACAGACACTGAGAAAGGCCTAAAAGGGAAAGAGTAGTAGCTTGATAGGAAACATAAAGTGATTTATGCATAATCAAGGAAAACTAACTTGAAGAATGAAGGTTACCAGGGTAACCGGAATCATCTGAACCTGCAAAGGAAATGATGATGTAAAGAAAATAAAATAGAAAGAAATTGTTAAAAAAATGAAATGGATAGTCTGATATACTTTTTTTAAAGGACTGATAAAAATGTTGTAAGTTTTTAGAGGATTCACTAGACATTGAGACTTGATTAAGATTGCTTTAATATTTCACAGACCTGGAGGTGACTGACATTCACATGCAAACATGGACACAAAGAATGACATGCACCACAGTTCATAGACGATAATCACTAATGACAAAATCAGACACCAAACTGAGGTTCAAAAATGTTTCCACTAGTAGCAGATTGTAGAGGTTGGGGTTATGGCCTTCACCTGGACACTTATAAATGGCCACACTAACAACTTTGTGGTATTTGCCCCAGGTCCCCATTATTCAACCACCAGTAAAACCTACAATCTACTTCAGGTGTAAACATCTTTGTCCACAAATGGGAAATGAAAGCAGGAGAGTGACTAGAGGGTGAAAGGACAGGGAGGGAAAGGGGGTGGAAAAAGAAAGAAAGCAGTGACAGGGACAGCACATCTTAGTTCAGTCTGCCAGCTGAAGTGATAAATTAGTTTCACAAATTCTGTTTAAAATAATCCACCACTAATTTTGGTGATTCCTGTGTCTTTCCACTGTTTTCTCACTTTTCACGTGATGTACATTCTATTTCTCTGTTATTAAATTTTAAAGAGTACCATGAAAGAACATCGCTGACTCATGTCTTAGGGATAAAAATTCCAGCTGGCTAGAAAAACTTGAACTAGCATGCCCCCAGGGAAGACTCTGAAAAGGAAAAAGAATGGGGGAGGAGCTCAAACTGGAGGCCATGTTGACACTGCTGTCCTGGGACTCTTTGGAAGGTATTAGGTTATGGAATAGTGACCATTAAGTCAGCAAGACATGTGATTATTTATGGGCATTTTAGAAATTGTGCCACTTATTGAAAGCCACCCAGTAAGTTCCATGATCTCAAATGTCAAATTATCAATGGTTCTGGTAAGTTAAATAAAAATCTCTTTCACTTCTTCCAGATAATCATTTTAATACAAGGTTATAATAGGTGGTGTTTTAGTGTTTATAGCTTCCAGTCAACTATAATATTAATGGAAGATCTCATAAAAATGAGTTGGCTTAGAAATAGAAACTCTTTGTTGCAGATATAATTAGGTCTTTGGACCAAAATGTTGGAGCCCACTTCTGGAACTTTTCCATATAAATGGTGGAATCAAACTAATTTACATTCTGTGGAGGGAGTAGGTGGGTAACAATTAAAGTGATCTTAATTAAAGTGATCTTATCCAGATGAGGCACCCCCAAGGACAAGAATGGAAATGCAAAAGCACAACAGACTCTAGGCTTATCTGGAAATGGAAATGGACTGATGTAGACATCCATTACAGTGCTTTAACAGAGAAAATAAAGAGACAAAGATGTTTAGACCTTTTCGAGCGAATCGTGGGAGAGAGTTATTATCATATATGGACTGAGTGGTGGTTTGGCTAGAGAGGGAGGACACAGAGCCAATCAGGGAGGCGTAGGGGACTGAATTACTGCTCAAAGCTGCAAAAAGTAAAGCCAGTTGGAGATGGGAAAAGTATTAGTATAACAGCAGTAGAAGACCATAATAATCAACCAAAGATGTGATCAACATATTTACTTTGGAAACTAATTATACAGAAATCCAAGTAAACCTATACTGACTTCTTATCTTCTAAATCAGGATGTATATATCATATGCAAAGATAGCACAGCATTCAAGTATCATTGTTTAAGACACATCAATATGTATCATGTTCCATCACAACTCTAGGACAAGTAAAAATGGCAGAATGGATGTTTCATGGAAAAAAGAGGTAAATTTGTGGGATTCTGATTGTATAGAAGAAGGAATCCTAGACTAGAATATGGATGGGAATTCCGCTTTTGCCATCTACTAATAGGGACAAATCACTTGGAACAAAGAACCTCAAATTTTTATTTGTAAAATAAAACTGCAGAGCTAGGTAACTTCTGGAGTCACTTCCTTTATAACTCTCACTTCTACCTCCTGTAGACAGGATGTCTAAACATAACATATGGAACAACAGAGAAGAGTCTCTTGGGCACAGTTTTCATGTAAGTGTTCTAGAAGTTATTGGACCTTTTTTTTTTTTTTGACCCGTGGGGAGAATTCACTGTCTATAAACTAAAAATCTATGCAGTTTAATGATCAACTTTTTGAATTATTTAAGTTCAATACCATTTTCTTTAGCTAACTCAAAAAACTATGATGTTATTGTCAAGTATTTGAAACAAACGTCATCATAAAAATTACGCTACTTAATAAATCTGGGATGAAACTTTAACATGAAACTCTAGCTCATATCAGAAAATAATCCCCAAGGAGTTACTAAAAAATAATTATATAATTACCCCCAAACTTCTCCATTGTCCAACATGGAAACAATTTTACATGATATAATCAAGCATGTTAGATTCTGAACAGAAGAGCAGACACTAAGAAAAAGATGAAGTTAAAGTCACTGTAGTATATTCTCAAACTTCTGTCTGGGTAACCTGGCTATTGCTTACAGTCTACAAACAATATTTTTATTAGATGAGGGTTTTTACATTAGCATCATTTGAGATGCTTTAAATTTTATTTTTTTTCCAGGCTGCACACCAGACCAATTAAGTCAGAACCTCTGGGGATATGAACCAGGCATTGATATTTTTAAAGTTCCCCAGCAATGACTCTTGGTCCAGTGGAAATTATGATGGGGGTGTGTCACTTGTTTATGTTTTCCATTCAAAAATTGTATCAGGTTTTATGAGAATGCAGTTAGCTTGCTCTTGGTAATACCTTGAATCTGCTCTGATTCTCCATTTAGTGAGATTTAGTACTTTAGCTATTATTAGTAGCAAAGAACTTGAAGTGCAGCTTACAGCAAAGAGGACTTGCCAGGGTCATGACAAATTGTTCAAGGCTACAAATGCACAACATCAGTGCATTTTAAAGGCACACATTGAATCTGAATGGTGTTTTCATTCTGAAGCCATGATATCCACAATATACACTGTCAAGATGAAAAATGGATGGATGTAGTCACTGAAATCTGCCTTAGGTTGGAGGAAAAATCATGATGGCTACTTTTAACAGGGTATATATTTATGATGGTTATGTCATGAAGGCTTCGTTACAAGAATTAAAACTTTAACATCATGGCATTTGAAGCTGAGCGGTGCCTTAGAGATCACTTAGCCCAGGCTTTTTGTTTTACACAAGAGGACTCTGAAGCCCAGAAGAGTTAAATGACTTTATACATTAGTCAATCTAGTAAATAAAATCCTAAGTAGTTTTGACATCTTTCTACTGTATTAATTCTGGAAAGGTGGTGACAATCTTCTCAAGCAGGCACAAAGTCTCCAGGGGCTGAAGGGGGCCTTTAGGTAAGGTAAACGACTGAAGACAACCAGGTAGGACATAGCAAACACTTTCACAAACAAAGGTGCTCATGCTCATTTCCTTGAAGCAAGCCATCTTCTATGGCTGGATTTCATTTCCCTACTTTTAAAGGAGGCTCAAGAAAAAAAAAATATTCTCTATTATATGAAAAATAAAAATAGACATGAAATGAATGGAAACTGACATTAAGTCTCAAGGTCAGGGTCATGTTTAGGGCTGGTGTACACTGTGGAGAATGTGTATAACGGGCCAAACTCATCAGCTCTAGCAGAAATCTTCCAGGTGGAACCATAGAGTCACAAGGCAAAAATTTTCAGGTTTTTAGTAGCAGTTGCAAACCCAGATTATGATGTGACTTTTCCTCAGTTTCCACTGTTGCTTTAAAACTTTGTTGAAACCCAGCGGGAGTCAAAGAAAAGACCTCCACAGGCCACATTTGGCTAACTAAATTGCAGCCTCTGTTTTAAAATAGGAAAATGTTTCTTTGGTGTGTAAATTAAGTATTAATTATCCACAAGACAATGGGCTAGACATCAAATATTGTCTGGGGGTGCTTAACAATGTATACATCTCTCCTGGATCACTCTCTGCAAGTTCATTTATTTCCTCTCCTTTTCCACATTAATTTTGTCAATTAGGAAAATGAAGCTCAGAAGGGTAGAAGATTTGATCAAGGTCATTACTCTTATTAAAACTAAGGGATTTGATCCCAGACCCTGTTACTTCTTATTTAGGATACTTTTCATTATGCCATACTGTCTCTTGTACGATTTAACGTCCGGGCAGATTGGTGCCATATACATAAATATGGACCTCTGAAAATGTTTGGACTACTTATGCCCTGCCACAGGGATCATAAACCATCCTCAGGGGTGCCTGGGTGGCTCAGTGGGTTAACCCTCTGCCTTTGGCCCAGGTCATGATCTCGGGGTCCTAGGATCGAGCCCCTCATCGGGCTCTCTGCTCAGCAGGGAGCCTGCTTCTCCCTCTCTCTGCCTGCCTCTCTGCCTATTTGTGATCTGTCAAATAAATAAAAATTTAAAAATAAATAAATAAATAAATAATAATAAAAAAAAAATCCTCAGTTAGAGAAAATATGTCAATAATAGCTTCATTTGAAGGTATGTCTGTTTCAGGGGTGGGAAGAGGGAAAAGGTGCCCCTATGCACACCTGTATTTACCAGTCACCTCTTGTCAACATTTTGTGATTTTCCATGAAAACATGAACTAAAGGTATACTAAAGGTATAAATTCAAAATGTTGAAAACTGTAGTATTATTTGGCAGATTTTTTAAAAATATCCAATTCACAATGTTTCTGCCTTCAAAATATTCTGTTTAATTTTACTAAGTCATCTAATCAACAGTAATTTCAAACATGTATATGGAAATGTTTATCAAATACTTGCTTTATTTTGGCAATTTTAAAATCTTGCACTTAATGCCAATAACCACTTTGTAATTATTTTGCTAAGTAAAGTTTTTGAGGTCACTAAGAGTGGGGGAACATCGTTTTTTAGGGGGGTGGTGGAACATCTGTTAGATGATTTTT